AAAATGTTTTGTTTTAAGACGTTACTGCAAAATATCCATTCACACTATGGGAAAACCCAGACACTAGGAGTAATTTAAAATGGACCACGCATGTGTTTCTAGAGTTGCGACAAAATGACAGCTTCAGCACCGACGGAGCAATGTTCAACGCAACATGCAGCTGGAAATAGGTAAAAATGTGTTGCGAGATCAGCAGCGAGTCATCGTATAAGAAAGGTGTTCCGCAAAACATAAATGAGATTCTCCATCGGGACGTGTGGTGGGACCAGGAACTGTGATTCTCCCGTAGAGGTGTTTTGTGAGACGTGCTGTTAGCCATCTGCGGAAAGATGGCTTGCAAAACAAGCGGTTTGGCGAGAAAGCCTGCAGGATCATACCGGGATGAACAGGTAAATATCCAGTTTGATCTCAGACTTGTAGTAATAGTAGTAGTAGTAGTAGTGGTGGGGCAACTACGCCACCGTTGATCCGAGCCACCTACTGGTAACTGATATAATAAATCAGCTTCAGTGATGAGAGGCACATACCTATCGTAAATCTTTCACCAACGTGAGTGTTATAGACAAGACAATATCCATGGCAAGGAATTAACTGGACATTCGAACCCGCGAGCCCCGGGTTGCTAGTTCGACCAGCTACCGAGGTTCCCTCGATTTCAAACATCGTATAAGGTTATATATAAGCTTAGCCTTAAGCTAGTGTCGACGGGATGTCGAGCCAGTGTTCGAGCTAGTGCGTACCTACATTAGGGGCAAACTGCAGTTATATCTTAAAATACAATTGTTATTTACTATATCTTCTTTTATTTTACGTTTGGATAGAATTTATTATTTTTTCAATGGGTTAACATATTTCTGTTTAAAAACTATATACTTCTAGTTAATAAGTGATACCACATCTTTTATTTTTTTTTATATGCACCTAATTATACTCTCATATTATCTAGGATTCACTTCCGTAATATCAGCAATGGCCGATGCTAGCGACACCTCCGTCTAAGATAAGGAAATAAATATTAACGATAATAAACAAACAGTTTACTTTTGTTGCATTATCGAATGCTTCTTCTTTGATCGAGTCGAGATTATTCGTGAATTTTCGGTTTATTACAGTATGGTTTGAGTTGCTTGGGTAGTGTGAGTGATTTTACTACAAGTGAAGGTGTTTATCGATCTGAAATTCAATTTTCCTGGTCATTGCAAAAGAGCATTCACGCGAACGCATCGCAATACCTTTATTCCACGGTGTCTTTTTGCCTATCTTGCAGATAGAAACAGATAAAAGATAAACACTTCCGAAAATAAACACGAACAAACAGAAATAAACTTGCGCTTGATGGTTTATTTATAAGTTAGAAACAGATGACGAAGCCACTTTCATCGCTGCAGTAACATTAACGAGCAACGGCTGTAGTGAGGACCGAGGTGATTCGTTATAAAATCACCGAGAGTATTGAAAGGCAGTAAAATCCAATACTTTAAACAACACCGATTTGAGGCGCTTTAAAGTCAGTCTTGATATAGGTCAGTTATTTTAGTAATTAATGAACGTTCTATTTATGTTTATATTATATTTATATATTTCTCCAAAATTGCAGACGTATTCTTGAAAGTGGACAATCCGAATTGAATTAAACGGGGAAAATAACTCAAATTTCAATCTGTGAAGTTTTTTCATTCAAATATTTTCGAACATACGAGGGATGTCTTTCAAGTTTTGCATATAGAAACATAGTAGGCCGCGCGGATCGAACGTCAGTACTGAATCTTAACCTCACTCTTTAGTAAACTTAAATTCAAAGTTTCACAACAATACGTGCAGTGTTCTCACTACAGTGAATTTTTAAGTGTCACCAAGTCATTAGAAAAATGGAACTCAACCGAGAACATTTTCGCGCTATAATTTATTACAACTTTCAGAGACAATTTCCGCAACAAGAATGCCTTGCTGAGTTACTGTCTGTTTTCGGCAACGGAGCGCCACATCAGTCGTCAATTTCCCATTGTATGGAGAATTCAAACGTGGACGGGTGAGTCTTAGCGACGATTCCAGGGTGGGTGCACCAAAAACGGCAGTCACCCAGGAAAACGTCGATGCTGTGCGCAAACTCATCATTGAAGATAGACATGTGACATATCGCAGAGATTGAGGCGTCCTTGAAGATCTCAAAGACCTCAATTCAAAAAATTTTACATGAAGAATTAGGAGTAAGAAAATTAGTTTCTCGTTGGATACCCCACCTGTTGACTGAAGAGCAGAAAGCAGCCAGGGTTAATTGGTTTCAAAAAACGCTTGACCGTTTCAATTCCGGAAACTCAAAAAATGTGTACAGCATTGTTAGTGGTGATGAATCGTAGATTTACTGTTATGAATCAGAAAATAAACGACAGTCGACTATTTGGGTGTTCCAAGGTGAAGAAAAGCCAACAAAAGTCATCCGTTCTAGAAGTGTTTCGAAAAAGATGGTCGCGACATTTGTGTCAAAAGCGGGTCATATTGCAACAATGCCTCTTAATGAGCAAAGAACTGTTACTGCGGATTGGTATACCACCATTTGTTTGCCAAAAGTCATCACCGAGCTTCGAAAAATCAACCCCGAAAGAAGAATCATCCTCCACCAAGACAATGCAAGCTCGCACACAGCCCAAAAAACAGTAGCATTTAACAGAAGAAAACGTGGAATTATTTGACTATGCTCCATATAGTCCCGATCTAAGACCTAACGATTTCTTTACTTTCCCGAAAATTAAAAACAGACTGCGTGGTCAAAGGATCTAGTCACCAAAAGATGCAGTTGACGCATTCAAAAATGCCGTTTTGGATCTGCCAGCAAACAAGTGGAATAATTGCTTCGAAAATTGGTTCGAGCGCATGCAGATGTGTATTAATCTTCGTGGAGAATACTTCTAAAAACAATAAAGTCATTTAAAACTACCTACCGTGTTGTTTTATTTCCATATGCAAAACTTAAAAGATGCATCTTACTTGACTATGGTCAACATATTGTTTTTATTTTGTTACTCGATTGTTCTTTAGAAGCTCAAAGTTGGCTATTTTGGAACATTTTGTCAAAGATTCCCCATTTTCGAATAATCAACCTATTTATCAGCGCACTAAAATACAAAACATACACGAAAGTGTTGTTCCTTTGCACTGCCATTAAAAAGTTGCATTTTGGTTATAAAATTGTGTATTGATTTGTTTCAACTTTTTTTTTATTGTGAGCGCAGTGGCAAACACTTTCATTGTGATATATTTCCTGCGTTTTAGCGTGTTTTATTATAGATTTGCTGTAGACCGTACTCGCATATGAAAGTACGTTAAATATTCGAAAATTGGTAAATATGGACAAAAATACCAAAATGGCGAAATTTGGGCATTTAAAAAACAATCAAGAACGAAAAGTAAAAAAATGTTATGAAAGTTCTAAATGCATATGTACTAAAATAATAATTACATTTGAATTTTTTTCAGGACTCAAAACTCCAATTACAGACCTTGATCCTTTTATATGGTAATGGATGAATACAGAAGAGTGAATTCAAAATCGGAAGAAATGAAATATTCCAGATCGTGTCCAAAACTTTGATTTGCGATATTTTTGACATAATAACTTTTGGACGTAGTGAATGGAATTGATTTGGGGGAGCATTAGTATTCAATTAAACTATAGTTTCTTTTATCGAGGCTTCCCAAGTTACTACTAATTATATCGTAAGAAAAAATATTTTCGGGGGCTGAAAATATTGAAATCAGGCATGTTTCCTATTTCACTTCTCACAAATTACACACTTTTCGTCTCCGGAGAATAACCATGCGTGGGAACTACCGAGTCCATCTACATGACAATGTTTCGCACGGATTCGCATGCGAGTGATTTTAAAAACAAATTATTTGAACGAAATTTATAACGTAATAGTAGTAGTAGTGTTAGTAGTACATTTAGCCAAATTTCAAACATAAAGTTCACATGGCATGTCAAAAGCACAATAAATATGAATGTAATAGAGAGTTAGTTAACAGTGTTTCTTGTACCAGACTATAAACACAAAAATGATAAAAAATATTAGTTCATTATGACTAGATTGTATAGGCAACAAGCTACATAGTGTTTTTGTTATGGTAGTGGTTAAAGTCAAAACTAGAATAAAATAGCAGCTTGTCAAAACACTATACAAAAAAAACATTATATATATAAAAACCTAATTTTTAAATTTGATATAGCTATCTATATATCGCAGATCTCCGGGTAGAGTATTTACAATGATATATGTAGTTGAATTGGGATGAACATTTACGAGTAAGTTATATGCCATAGTTCTAAAACGATTTGCTTTCAAAATGGGATTTCTGGTCTTATAGTTCATTTTGTAAGCTGAAATCGTTGATGTTTCGCTTTACATACTTAACACACTTGTTTAGGTAAATACAAGGAACTGCCAAAAGCTTATTTTGGATAAATGTGTATTTGCAACTTTCGCCAAAACTAAGGATGAACAACAATCTAATTATCCACTTTTGTGTTGTGTGTTGTAGCTCAACCCCGGATGCTATAAGATAATTAGCTGTATACGAGAGCATAGTATAGTGATACATGTCCTAATGGTCTTTATCTAAAGAGTTCCATGCTATCCAAGTTCTACATTTAATGTTGTCTTAGTAATTTTAGGAATGGCTTTTCTAATATCAAAGTTTTTGCGGTAGTTTTATTTTCATTTCATATTCTTCAAAGACAACTAGGCCGGTTTCATGCTTATCGACAGATTTGCAGACACAGTGGTCGTGGTATCATCAGCAAACACTGTAACGTTTCCCCTTGAAATGAAATCTGGCAAGTCATTTACAAAAATCGGAAATATGACACGACCTAATACGGACCCCTGGGGAACGCCCAGGTTTTCAGGGAATTTATCTGATAACACATTATGAATCTTCACAATTATATTTCTATTAGAAAAGTAAGAATCAATCCATTTCAATATATAACCTCTCAAACCTACTGATTCTACATTTTCTGAGATGATATTTTTATTCAGAATATCAAATGTGTTAGGAAGATCGAACATCATGCTTACTACATGATTGCCTTGATCGAATTGTGAATAAACATCATTCAAAAAGTCAGAAGTTGCTGTCTCTACAGATCTATTTTGTCTAAAACCATGCCGAACATCAGATAGCAAGTTAAATTTCACTGCAAATTAATTCATAATTGTATACACTGTTCGATCAATAACCTTGAAGAACTCTGACAGGAGTAATATTTGTCTACAATTTCCATTTTTTTCCAAAGCACCTTTTTATGTAGAGGCTGTTTTTAATATATTGGGAAATCTTCTCCTGTTCAAAAAAGAGTTTATGATGTAAGAGATATGAAAGGAGGCACGACTCGATTTGTTCTTGAAAGAATTTATTATTGGCTTTACATCATTTTCCGTGATATATGTAACGAAAATAGAATTTGATGGATTTGATACTGAATTCACCTGTTCTGACCAAAAGTGCTAGCAAGTTATTTTATTACATACATTAGAAAAGTAATCTGTAAAAATGTTGCTCATTTCGCTTTTGTTTGATATTATCTTATCATCGACTACAGTCTGTTTAATTTCAGTTTTTTGGTTACGTTTTCCTAAACACCACTATAAGTGGCCATGCCATGTTTTCTCTACATTTCTCTGTGAAAATTTACGGAGAGTTATGGCTTTGATTTTCGGACTACTGTTCACTGCAGAAAGATTTTTTACTGAAAGAAGTTGCGCCAGATAATCCCCAAGATTTAAATTAATAACATATATATAATTAATATCCTCTGGGACAAGTGGTAATAGTATCAATTCGAAAATCTGACGTTGGGCTCCTTTTTCGAGCTCTAGGGCGGTAAAGTAACGTCAGCGTCCGTTATCTTCAATTTGACCCCTATGCTCATCGACCTTGAAAACTGTGTGTATCTTCTATTTGTTGCTAGATAACGGTTTCAGCAACCGAGTCCCGAGGATATAGTATGGTCAATTTATTTATTCTATGTACGCTTAAGGAGTAAACTATTTTTTTACTCACACTAAAGCCGGTCGTACAAAATTTTGTACGTACCTCGATCGCAATAAGCGTGTCACGCTGCGGACCACGAACTCCTATTTAATACTTTAGATACATAAATATCTAATATCGTACATTTTTAAATGATTTTCCATCTAACACAATTCTCTTTGAACTGGCCTAAGTCAGCGTGTTTAATGGAGGCATTAAAATTGGAAGCTCGACACCCAACCAATTTGAATCTCGTCAAAATGCGAGAGCCTGTTAGTGTTAGCCGAGTTTTATTGCCTTTCTAAAACATTTACCAAGCTGTCTGGAAGTTTACAGCGCATTCTTAAATGGTTACCACTCTCAAAAGAAGTGCGAAGTTGAATCAGACCGATTAGCATTCACTTCGACATTGGTACTTAGTATCTTGGATGTTACAAATTTGCCGATTGATCAGCATTCACAGCAACTCATTGCTTTCGAGTTGTTGCTTTCAAGATAGCTGATTAGCTCTGATAAACCTTAAGCATGAGCACAATGTATCAAGGGTTCAAGGTTTTCATGGTAAATTTTAAATAACCTAAATTACGAGCAGAATATCTAGAAAGTTATTTTCTACGAGGGTTCTCTTTTTAAGTAAGAACACTATTGTGATGGAATCAGAGAACTTTATTTATGAACCTAAACTATATCACAAACTGAAATACGACCACGTTTTTGATTTTTCAACATTGCCATCATACTCGCATTTTTCTACCAAAGGAGGTTGAAGAAACTTTGTTAATCCGATTTTTGAACTGCCTATACTTAGTAGAACTGAGAAAAGTCTCCTCCGGTAGATTGTTCCAGGATCTTAATATTCTAGGGACAGACGTCAGGTCAGTTCTGGATGTACGAAGTTCGACACGGTTAGGATGGGAGGCCGAAGACAGGCGGGTCCGAAACCGGATGAGCACTAGGGCGCTTCTTGTTAGTCAAGGTAAAGTCAGTACGTTACCTGCTGCTTTGGAAGCATTAAGCTGTATAAGATTTTTGAGTCCCCAAGCAGTGAGAATCTCCAGATTACTCGTCCGAGAGGAAGTCGCTGCTAGTCTTCTTTTCTTTGTATGTAGAGTGCTGTCATCGGTCATCGGCAAAGCTGTGGATCGGATTGACCGTACAGGAAAGCAGGTCGTTGATATGTAAGAACGAACAATGTCGAAGTCAACACCGATCCTTGGGCAACACCCGCGATAACTTTGCGTGATGAAGAGGAGAAGCTGTCAATTACGACTGCTTTCTTGCGGAGAGAGAAGAAATCAGCCACCCATCTGCAAAGCTTCTCTGGGAGGGTATAAAATGGAAGTTTCCATAAGAGGGCTGTATGCCACAGCTGATCGAACACTATTGTAAGGTGAGGTTCATACACAGCAGCCACAAAAATTAAATGTTTGGGCTGGTATTTTTGGCGATCATTTAGTTGGTCCTTTTTTCTTACGTGGAAATTTGACCGGTAAAATGTATTTGGAACTACTGGAAGACGCCATAGATCCTGCATTAACAGCCATAATTGAAAATCAGAATGATCGGCGGTACATTGCGAATAGGATGATGTTCCAACAGGATGGTGCCCCACCACATTACGCATTACGTGTTCGACAATATTTAGATCAGACGTTTCCAGATCGATGGATTGGTAGAAGAGGTGCCATTGAATGGCCCCCAAGATCGCCAGATTTATCACCTTTGGATTTCTTTATGTGGGGTCATTTAAAAATCAAAATCTATGCTACTCACACTCAGCCAACATCATTAGAAGACCTGCGACAAAGAATTGTGAATGAGTGCCTTCAAATTACTCCTCAAATCTTGCAAAATGTGCGGCAACGTTTTGAGCAAAATCTTTATTATTGCGTGGAGAGTCGTGGTGGCCATTTTCAACATTTACTTGCCTAACTGGTCAGTTCATTATTCGTTTTTAAATTACTTTGCTGCCGAGTGTATTGATCTCCACTAATGATGATGTATTAGTTTTATTCAAGCTTTAAATCAATAAATCTTCAAAACTACTGAACTGTGGTACATTAATTTTATATCATTATAAAGGGAATTGAAAGACCTTTAAAATAAGGTATCACTCGACCCCCCCCCCTTTCCATTTAAGATTTTGGGGGTGGTGTCACCCCCGCTAGGAGGCTGCACGTGCTAACGTGATTTTTTGCCAAACTTGTGTCCCCCTCGAAAAAAAATCGACTTGTCTGAGCGTTTTTCAAAAAAAAAACTGAGCTGCCAGTAAATGCGTCTGTTTCGTTTTCAATGCGCCATCCTGTATTTTTATGTTTAATTTCACCCCTTCCATCCCCAGTTTTACCATTATCAAAAACCTGAATACATAAAATATTGCATTATGCATCCAATTTACCCCAAAAACTTATCTACCAAACATGAAAACATAGAATATGAAACAATCTGTTTTCAATTTTGCCCATTAATTTTGCAATATGGTTTGTTTTATAGAACTTTGCCGGTGTTTACCGATCGTTATATGGCAATGTATTTATATTCTATGTCATGCATTTTCTCTTTTATTCACCGAACAGAATATATTTGGCATACATGATGGATCGCTTCCATATAATACATCCAATACATTTTTGAATGTGTGCATATATACATCAGAGGAAGAGGCTTTATGGAGAGTTTCAAGGAAAAGCTCCATCGGCTTGTGAATATTGTCTATTTTACCTGCAATCAATTTTTGGCAACAAAAAAAGCCCAAGCGCTCAAGCAAGAACTTAAATACACGCTAGAAGTGAGTTAAGCATATATTACTCATTATTATTGTTTTTGATTTAGTGATATAGTGGTTTTTCGAAAAACACTGAAAAACAAAATAGTCCTAGATGGTTCAATAACCTAATATGAACTTTTGCTTCTTGTTTTGGAAAAAGGATGCATATTAAATGCAAAAATGCCATGATGCTATCAACTATCTATTAAATTATTTAAAATTCATTTGTTATACTTCTATTCATCTCATAATGTCAGTGGATTATTCAGCGCTTCTATATTTGATAACTCAAACCCAATCAAAAAATATGTGTATGCAAAGCCGGTTAAATTGTTTTATTTGTTTTAGATACGAGCGTTGCACGATGTTATGCAATTATAAGCTATACCACTGTATATTTGAAATTATTTAAATGCAAACCTCAATGGAATTGACATTTTGTTGTGGATATTTTGTATTTTTACGTGGCATTAATATTATCCTGAAAAGTACTGAATATAAAGCAAAATTATTCTAAGCTTGGTTTGTTCATGGCGAATAGACCGTATCTACAATAGCACCAGAATCGGCGGCATCTAGCGGACACAGTGTTGACAATGCGAGCTCGAATACAGGTTCAACACAGCTTGCTGTTTTCACTATCACAGTGGTCGATTCTGATAATAGCTTTGTGCTGTCTTATTTCCATAGATTATTAATTTAGTTACTACCACCTCCCTCCGTTGTCTACAAATTTCAGAACTCGAGCAGGATTCGCCAAACTGTAACAACAGCCTATGTTGCCTGCCTATTTGTCCCACCTGTTATATTGCCCCCTGAGTATCGCACTCCAATGTTATATACCCATCGTAGAGACTAGAATAACAATTTTCAGGTGCTTCAAGGCACAAGCAACCGCCAGTGGAGCGTGGCTCCGATATGGCTATGCCGCACCGGAAACTGGGAATGATAACCGGTAGAGTATATCCAGAATTCCGAGTAATTGCCTCCTTAAAAGTAAAAGGGTCCCGATCCCGGCGTAAGGAACACCTTCTGTTCCGCTTCGTAATTGAACTATAAAAAGGGAATAAACTTTCAGGGCAGGTGGCGTCTTCTTAACAGTCACAGGGTTGGGTTCGATGAACTTTGCATTTGCGTAGGCGGAAGAAAAGAGAGAAGTTCTGACTAAATTGGATACATGCGATAGGAACATGAAGATTTACCTGAACTAGGGAGAATTGTAATCGCGAAAAATTTCAAAAATGAGATATGTTTTTTGGATATTATTGACATGTGCATCACGACAAATCATGTCACTCATTTCCGTCAGTCTGTCGGTCTGTCCGGTAGTCTTATAACCGCCTAAAGCTTCAGAAGTACCGCTGGGATTTTGATGAATTTTGTACGCACTATTAGTA